TAATCAGCAAGATATGCAAATTAACCGCCAACAAATATGGCGGTTAATTTGCATACATAGGCGCGAAGCAGCGGAGCGAAGACTGAAGGCGGCTCCGGCCGGAGCAGCGAAGGCTTGAAGGCGGTTCCGGTCGGAGCAGCAAAGGCTTGAAGGCGGCTCCGGCCGAAGCAGTGAAGACTGAAGGCGGCTCTGGCCGGAGCAGCGAAGATTGAAGGTGGCTCCGGCTGGAGCGAAGGCCTGGGTCCTGGGTGCCAGAGGAAAACCGGTGCCAGCAGCCAGGGGAAGGGAAGGCCTATTGCACGAATCTTTTCGTGCAACAGGCCTCTAGTATATGAATATTAGGGTAACACAATTCAGCCCATAACACAGTATTTAAGAGTACGTACGTTGCAGACATATGCCCCCATACGGGTAAAGGACAATTATATCTTCTACTTATTTCCAAGTGGTTCAGGAAAAAAAAAAATGAACATAGTAGGGGAACCTACTTTTTATGCAACTTTTTGCATGAAACTTTTTTTTTACTTTTTAAGCCAATTATTTCAAAATAAAAGCTTTTCCTTTTAAGTACATAAAAGTCTTAATTGATGAGTTAAATTTTTACAGCACTCCTCTCATGAAAATACACCATCATGCATGACTAAAGAAGTACTTGCAATCAATGTTTATCATACATAAGAATCTTGTGACTACAGATGTAAAGGACCAAAGGAATTGAAACAAAGTCCTTCCAATCATTATACATCTAACGCTACTATAATTACTCCCTTGTCACATAGAAGAAACTAAGTACAAAAGTTTTTTTCTTCTCTGTTCTAAGTTCCCATCTTTTGCCTAAAGTGTTGCCTATGCAACCCTAAAAGATCCCCAAATTCAGTCAAAAGGAAACTACCCTATTTACCAACCCATTTCACTAATTATTCTGGGATCACACAGTAAACAAGGCCTAAATCTCAGCTCTAGGGTCATTTCTTCTAAAATGTTTTCCCAACATAGACCATTCTCAAACCAAGTACAAACCTGTGACATTGTTAACATGCATTGGGCTTCTTATAAAGACAGTCCACTCATCTCTCTTTAACGTACTAGTACCTTGTTCTTTACTAGGCATGTATTTACTGCTCTGCATCTACCTAAATTCTACAAATGAATACCACTAACTCTGCAAATAACTTACCTAGCGATGACATTTTGTTTTGTTTGATATTATAATAAGACAATTGTTATTTCTCTGATAAAAGTGATTTTTCAGATATCTTAAACACATAAAGAAAAAGATCTCATGAAGTAAATTAACAAAACTATAGTGAACTACATTTCACTACCTTTTAAGATTAAAAATTCTGAACAAATACAGTTTACATATTTTCTTACAAGTTTTTCAAGTTGCTGATCCACCCACCCATCTGCTTAGTAAATGTGGTTATTCTGTAGAAAGACAAACTTATCTTATAACTTATCTAATAATGAAAAAAACACGTTTGCTAAATATCTACTACTATACACTATCGTGAATAACAGACACTGTTCTATGTACTAGCTGTAAAGAAGTAAACAGTCAAACATGATCCCTCCCATTATGAAGTTTACAATTTAGGAATGAACATTTCTTTTACCAGAAACAAATCCTAAGAGTGAAAGAGATAATGAAGCCTAAATTTCTCTTAGCACATGACAGAAAACATATTCCTATTTAGGAAGATCTATAAGAATACTTTGTGGAGGTGAGGATAATTGTGTAAAAATGTACTGACTAAATTCTATACTATCATTTTTGCATTTACACAAATCCATTTAATGTATAAAGTGGTTTGTTTTTTTACATGTTTGACCTAATTTGGTCTTCTCAATAGCCTATGTGAAAGGGCAAGGTGTGGTGTTTTTATTTTAATAGACAAAAATTTTTTAACTTAGTATAACCCAAGCACATAAATCTTGGAAAGCCAAGATGAGGTGCATGGGTAGACACTCAACCACTGAGCCACGTTGGCCGGGCTGGGGAGAAAACTCTTAATGATCTAGGCCACACCATAAAATGTTGGACCAAAAGTTGGTGACAATGACACCTGGGACTTGTTTTAAGGTTGCTCTTATTTTAATAAAGCACTGGGATACATCCCCAGTTCCTGACAAGGTTACACACGAGGCTCAGTAGTCAACGCAGCAGCCATGTTGGTGAAATCTATCTAGAGAGAAGCCCAGTCCCCTGCGCCCAGTGCCCTTTTCACCAAAGGAGCCACATCAGCATGCCAGGTCTTACCTACCAGCATATAAGGCAATTCGCACCCTGCTACTACATGTTCACTCATATCGGGTAATCACACTTGCAAATGCCAGCCATGCCTAACCACTTCAGAACATACCACCCAGACATCAACAATACATTATTTTACAGACCAATCAAAACATGGACTAACATTATCTTTACCCTGGCATCCAGGGTCAACAGTTTTCTCATTTTACACATAAAGAATCTAGGAATGTCAGAGACAATGTGACTTAATCTAGATCATTAAGCTTGTTACTGGCAGGGTCATCACTAGAATCAGTCTTCTTTCCACCATACCAGGTTAAACTCTAGCTAAACATTTTGCCCCAAATCAGGAATGCTGCATTACAAAGAAGCTCTTATACTCACACACTTTCAGGCTTTCATGGATTAGGAAAAAAAGCTATGCCTAGAAAAAGGTATCTAATTTGATTTGCCAAATAAAAAAAATAAAAGAGTTATACACCATGTGGTTTTATAGGTAAATTTTATCTAACAGATAATTCCCATTTATTCAAGTTATTAGAGATCAGATAAAAATATGGGTGTTTCCCAAATCATTTTGCTATGCTGTCACAATCCTAGCCCCATACCTAATAAGAGAGCATGGAAAGGAAAACCACAGTTCAATCTCCTTTCAGGAAGCAGATGAAAAGTATTTATAAGTGTAAACCCTTAAAGAATATTTACTATGGCCTTGGCTGGTGTGCCTCAGTTGGGCATCGTCCCATGCACTAAAAGGCTGCTGATTCGATTCCCAGTCAGGGTACACACCTGGATTGCCGACTCAATCCACGGTAAGAGGCGTGAGGAGGCAGTCTATCAATGTTTCATCTCATATTGATGTCTCTCTTTTCTCCCTTCCCCTCTCTCTAAAAATCAATAAACTATTCTTTTTAAAAAAAGGAATATTCACTATGAATCAGACACTGTTATAGATAATTTATGTGTATTAAATAATCCTCACAACAAATCTTTGAGATGCATACTATTATTATCTCCATTTTATAGAAGGGAAAGCTGAAGTACAGGGGATCAAGTAATATCCAAAAGGGAACATGATTAGTAAGTGATAAAACTAGAATCTATATCCAAATAGTTTGGCTCCAAAATGTTGGGAAATTAACCTAGCTAAGTATTATATTAAAAATATGTAGGGATTACTCCAGGAAAGCAAGGATTATTCAACACAAACCATTATATTTATAATAATAAAAGCGTAATATGCTAATTAGACCAGACGTCCTTCTGGGACGAAGCTGGGGCTGCAGTTGCCATGGCTGCGAGGGAGGGATCCAGGCAGCTGGCAGTGGCTGCAAGGGAGGGATTCAGACAGTCGCGGCTGCGAAGGCCTACTCTAGCACAAATTTTGTGCATCAGGCCTCTAGTTAATAATAAAAGAAGAAAAAAGATAAGTGTATTAACAGAAGCTTTAAAAATTTAAAAGATACATTTCTTATAAAATATTCTTAAATAAGCCCTAGCTGGTTTGGCTCAGTGGATAGAGAGTTGGCCTGTGAACTGAAGGGTCCCAGGTTCGATTCTGGTCAGGGGCATATGCCCAGGTTGTGGGTTTGATCCCCAG